TTTTTTTTTTTCTTAACATATATTGCATTATTTCCGTTATCCATTTTAAATTAATTTTGTAAGGTGAGCGATTTAGGTTCAAGTTTTTTTGTTTGCTTATGTGTTTTGTCTATGGATGTCCAATTGATCTAGCACCATTTGTTGAAAAGATTATCCTTCTGCACTGACTTGCTTTTGTGCCTTTGTCAAAAATCAGCTGAGCATATCTGTGGGCCTCTATTCCGGGCCTCTCTATTCTGTTCCATTGATCTATATGTCTATCTCTCTGCCAATATTACCCTGTCTTAATTACTGTAGCTATATCCTAACCCTTACTATCAAAGAGTGATTCTTTATCTCTCTTTTTCAAGAGTGTGTTAACCATTCTAGGTACTATGCCTTTCCATATAAATTTCAGAATAAGTTTATCTATGTTTACAAAAACCTTACTGGGATTTTGGCAAGAATTGCATTAAACCTATAGGTCAGTTTGGAGGGAACTGACATCTTTACTAAGTTGAACTTTCTAATACATGAACATATTATGTCTCTATTTAATTTCATTTTATTAGCATTTTGTAATTTTCAGCATTCAGATCCTTCATGTGTTTTGTTAAGTGTATACACAGTACTTCATTTTCTTTATAGCATTTGTAAATAATATGGTCTTTTTAATTTTGGTTTCCATATAACCTGTGTTACCATGCAAAAACATCCTTAACTTTCTTTTTTTTTTAAAGATTTTATTTATTTATTTGAGAGAGAGAGAGTGAGAGAGAGCACAAGCAGGGGGAGCAGCAGACAGAGAGGGAGAAGCAGGCTCCCCAGTGAGCGGGGAGGCCATTGTGGGATCATGATCTGAGCTGAAGGCAGAGCCTTAACTGAGCCACCCAGGCGTCCCCATCCTTTTACTTTCAACCTCCCTGCGTCATTAAATGTGAAGTGAGTTTCTTCTCACTTCAATCACCATGTAATTGGCTTGTGTTTGTTTTTGTTTGCTTGTTTTAATCCACTCTGCCAATCTGCTTTTTTAATTGGTGTATTTACACCAATTACATTGAAGGTAATTCTTGATACATCTGAGATTACGTATGCCATTTTAACATTTGTTTTTTGGTTTTCCTGTTTCTCCTTTCTCACCTTCCTGTGGGTTACATTTTTCAGAATTCCATCTTAATTTACTTTCAGGGTATTTGAGTTTATCCCTTTGTATAAAAATTGTTGTTCTAGGTATTACAATAAACATATGTGACTTATGACAATCTGCTGGTATCAACATTTTACCACTTCAAGCAAAGTATGGAAACCTTACTTCTGTTTAGGTCCCTTTGCCTTCCCCAATTTTTAATATTATTACCTCGAGTATCGGATGTTTCAGTCATCAAATATGATTGTAAAAACTCATGGCAAGGATATTCTATCTACCCCAGTTTTTACCTATTCTAAGATTCTACTTTCTAAAATTTCAAATTATTCTCCATTATCAGATCTTCCTTTAGCCCTTTTTCTTTTTTTAAAGATTTTATTTATTTATTTGAGAGAGCACAAGCAGGGGAAGCAGCAGACACAGTGGGAGAAGCAGGCTCCTTGCTGAGCAGGGAGCCCAGTGTGGGACTCTATCCCAGGATTAGGTAAGATTAAATAAAAAGATCATGACACTTCCAAAAGCCATTGTTAAAATGCTCAAAGACTGTGGATTTGTGGACAGTCTTCAGTAGTATCTCCTGGAATGCTCCGCATAGTTCTTTTTCATAGGTATTAGTTCCCATTTTACAGAAAAGTAATTTCTCCAAGATCTCATAGCTCAAAGGCATAGTAAGGTATATTCAAAAGAAGAGAAAAACAAACAAACAAACATTTTAAGCCAAATTTTCTGCCTCTAAAGCATGTGCCCTTGATCTCTCCAACATGAATGTGCTTTTGGGTAAAAATAAAAAAGCTATGGAATTTTTTTTTTTTTTTACTAATGAACAAGAAATAGCATATCGGATTAATGACCTACAATTACACCACCAGAAAAAGAATAAGACTTGAAGTTAGGAAAAGCCGGTTTGGGCCTATGTCCATCATTTATGAGCCCTGTAACCTTGAACAAGTAATTTCACCTGCTACATTAGTCCTTCTTTGGCAAACAAGAAACAAATTTGTAAGCAGATTACACATTTCTTTGCATACCAAATGACTAAAAACTTCCTGGCTTAAAATAATGCTCAACTACAGAACCCACGATCTAATAGCTCAGAAGTAGGGATGGTCTCTGCTTAATTGAGGCTGAAATCAAGTTGTTGACTGGTCTGTGGTCTTCTGTGAAGTTTCTAGAGAAGAATCTGCTTTCAAGTTCATTGAGGTTGTTGGTAAAATCCAGCTGCTAGCAGTTGTAGGCCTGAGGTCCATGTTTTCTTGCTGGCTTTCTGCTTCTAGAGGCTGCCCACATTCCTGTTCTGATTTGCTTACAAGGTTTTTGTGATGATGATCAATTGAAACCGATTGTACAAATAGTGGTGGGGAATGTGATCACTGCTTAAGGTTGCTGGGTTTAGAGGCCATCCCTCAACCTCCTTCCACAGAACCCGTCTAAACCACAAGTAATCCTCCCAGGAGGCAGGTTGTGAAGTCTCTTAAGACAGATGTGTTAGTTGGGACTTTCTGGAGGGACAAAAACCGGGTTTTGTGCTGGACAAATGTTTACTGAGCAAAGTGGATCAGATGCCATGAAGTGCCTGGCACCGGTGGTGGGGAGGATTCTAACTGGCCATTCTGCAGTGAAGCGATGACAGCGAGACTTGGGAAGGGCTAACCCCACAGCCTCGAAAGGGCATAGAAGTGGTGAAGGATGCCTGCACGGAACTAAAAGTGCGAATTCTGGAAGCCTACCCACCCCCACCCGAATGGCCAGGGCCTGTGAACCCAGGACCTCCCCTCATCGCCCCCTGGCTGTGGGTACAGCTCCTCTCACAGGGGGGACGCTGGGCACCCCCTCCCACACTGGTCCTTCCTACGCAGAAGGTGCAAGTAGAGCCTCCCAGCCTGCGCCCTCTGGCGCTCCAGGCCCAGCCTCGCAGTTCCAGCCGTCGTCCCCCCCCCGCCCCCACCCCGAGCCTCTCGGCTCACAGGTTGCATCCGACTGCGCTCCCGAGGCTGTGATTGGTCTCTGCTGTTGCCACTGCCCCCATCCCCACCAATGCTGACTCCAGAAGCAGTGAATTTGCCCGCCTGCACGCTCGGTTGCAACCATCGCTAATGCTGACTCTGGGAGCAGTGAATTTGCCCGCTAGCGCACTTGTTCCTGCCTTGGAGAGAGGTAAAAGCTGTCTTCCGCCTTTACTGGGGGGGCACTCCAAAGTGAGACGTGGTGGGTAAACCAGTTTGGGCTGCTGTGGGTGAGAATGGGAGGCCTAGTTTTTGGGGAAGTGGCTCTCCGTCCCTCGTCCCTCGATGTCCCGGGGACAGTCGCTGTAGCTAATAGGTCTCTACGGGCATCAGAACAGAGCATCCTGGCCCCCGTGGGCTCCCTGGACACTCTGTCCTTACCCCCATTATTACTGAACCGGGTCCTTGGGGGTCTCCAAGCAATAGCAATTGACAAGAGGCCAGCGGAGTTCGAGGCCAGGCTTTACTGGGGCTTATGCTCCAGCACAAGGGAGACAGCAGAAGGAAGAGAATCCTCAGGCTGACCCCCCAGGGAGAGGTCAGGGAGACTTTTTTAAAGAAACTTAGGTGGAAAAGGGTGACTCCAAGAACATAGAGGCAGGAATTTATTAGCACCTGTGCACTTAAAGGTTATGCCTCTTCATGCCTCATGCGTCTAATTAACATGTTAAATCTCCACCCCTGGGCATGATTTTTAGTATCATAATGAGGAAAAAAGTCAATGAAGAGACAGCGATGGGGTCCACCTTGGCGCAGACTGGTTTGATCTTCCCCAGTCTTGGTAGCGCAGCCCTCTCTTGGGTAAGCGTCCTGCCTCCGCATTCCTGCTAGACTTCTCTCCACCCAAGGGGCATAGGGTTTCAGCTATCAAGGAATGCTGGGTTTCTCCCTCGGGATTGAGGGGACCCGACCCCAGTCTCTACTCTGTCTCAGGTTGGCGGGCTGTCCATTGTTTCAGCTTCTCATTCTGTATTTAGATTGGAGTAGTGTGGTGTGAAAGAAAATGGATGTGTGGCTACTGGGGAAGTAAACATAAGGCATCGTAGGAAGAGGTACTGAGCGAGCCTCCCCTCCTCCCTGCTCACACCGCCTTTGATGGGCGCCTGGGGTGGGCATTGAGCCTGGCTCTGTTTCAGAGGAGGGAGGGAGGTGGGTTTGGGGAGTGAGCCTAGACCCTCCCGAGAGTCCCCAGGGAACAGCTAGACAAGGAGACACAGGGACAACCTTCCAAGTTCGAACTCCCATCTCACTCTCCCGTTCTTTCTTCCTAAGAATCTTTTGCTCCCGGGTCCGTGCAATAACCTGCCCGCCCGTCTCCACGCCAATTCCCTGCAATGGGCAATAACTGCTTTGGCTTTAAGAAATGGCTGATTCAGCGGCTGCGGCCTCTGCCCACCCTGCTTATCGTCCCTGCCCTCATGCCCCAGAGCAAGAGCAAAGACTACCGCGTCGTGGTGCTTGGCGATGCTGGCGTGGGCAAGAGCGCGCGGGTGCAGAAGTGGGTGCGTGGCCACTTCCGCGATGCGTACCTGCCGACCATCGAAGATACCGACTGCCAGGTGCTGAGCTCCAAGCACGGTGTCGGGGTGCTGCGCAGCACCGACACCACGGGCAGCCACCGCTACCCGGGTTTGCAGCGCCTCGCCATTGCCAGGGGCCCTGCTTTCATCCTGGTTTACTCAGGCGCCAAGAAGCAAACCCTGGAGGAGCTGAAGCCTTTCTATGATCTGATCCGCAAAGTCAAAGGCAACACCTTGCAGAAGTACCCTATCGTGCTGGTGGGCAACGAATGCCAAGAAAGCCACTGGGAGTTGCCGGTAAGTGACCGCGCCACATGCGCCTGCGCGTTGGAGTGGCATTGCGCCTTCTTGGAGACCTCCGCTAAGATGGATAGCAGTGTGCAGGAGCTATTTCGCACGCTGCCGAACCAGGAGAAGAAGCCTGCCACCTGCCTTCGCCATCCCCAGAAGAAATCCCAAATACCCAAGACCGCGGAGAAGCTGCTTAGCAAGTGCATCATCATGTGAGCCCCGGGGTCTTAGGATCCTGACCTCCTTCCCCCTCAGTGTGCAGAAAACAGGGAGCCGTCCCAGTGTAACGTGTTACCTGTGCGTGAACGACTTCTGTGCCGCGGTTTAGGTAATAACTAGACGCCAGCAAATGTCCCTTGTAAGTTGATAGCTTTCCTTTTTCCCATCCAAGAGAATTCAGATTGCTAAAGCTCTAGCACTGGAGGAGGAGGACAGGGAAAAAAGGAGCGCTATGCATTTAGAGACTACTTGTATAGACTTTAGAGATTAATACTTGAAAAAGAGAATGAAATGCTGAAATGAATTGAAAGAGGCCACTGCTCTTCTTGTAACTGATTATCGTGTCATTTTAAAACACTCCAAGTCCTATAAAGTCGCCATTGTGTATTTAATTGTTTAAAAAAAAAGTGTTTTTGCAACAAAACCCGGCAGATGACTTTTAGATAGATATGTTAAGCAAGGTAAATAAAAGGATAATCTATAGCTGAGCATTGAGGCTGGGGGCAGAGAAAATAGTGGAACTTGCTTACTAAATATGTGCCGATTGTTTTTGAAGTCATTTAAAAACATTTGGGTATTCCGTGTAGCAGTTTTTGTGACTCAATAAAGCTTTTCCTGCATGCAATCAGCTTTATAATTTCTTTTTCACTGGACAACAAAAATACGCATTGCATTAAAATTTCAGCCCCATCTGGGTAAGGTTTCTAATAAGAACTTCACACAGGGACACTCATTCCCTCCTGAAATTAGCCAGTGGGGGCAGGGGTGTAGTTAAGGGGTCCCTGCGATGCAGAGCTGGTCTCTATCCATAACCATTCATGGGCTGACATCTGAAAGAACTCCAGGCATCTCTGAAGAGGATGCTCCTTCTGTTGCTGTGTTGGAGATAGTGGTGGAAAGCAAGCCTCAGCCTTTGGCCGCCTCAAAGTCTTCTCTCAAGAAATGCTAGATCTGGGGGTGCCTGGGTGGCTCAGTCGGTTAAGTGTCTGCCTTGGTCCGCCTTCGGCTCAGGTCATGATCTCCACGTCTCAGGATCGAGCCCCACATCGGGCTCTGCGCTCAGCGTGGAGTGGAGCCTGCTTCTCCCTCTCCCTCTGCCCCTTTCCCTGCTTGTGCTGACTCTCTTTCTCTCTCTCTCTCTCAAATGAGTAGATAAAATCTTAAAAAAAAAAAAAAAAGAAAGAAAGAAAAAGAAATGCTAGATCTGGGGCTCCTTGGTGGCTCAGTCGTTAAGCGTCTGCCTTTGGCTCAGGTCATGATCCCAGGACGAGAACCGCAATGGGCTCCCTGCTCCGCGGGAAGCCTGCTTCTCCCTCTCCCACTCCCCCTGCTTGTGTTCCCTCTCTCGCTGTATCTCTCTCTGCCAAATAAATAAAGAAAATCTTAAAAAAAAAAAAATGCTAGCTCTGGGGAGTGGGGATGGGGATGGAAAGTAGGGGGAGAAATGGTGGAGTGTGAAATCTGAGAAATTCCTCCTTAAGGGAGTTTTTTAAAAGATTAATTTTATATTTGAACATAATTTTTTGAGTAAGGGAATACATACCTATACATATCTTTTTGAGTGTTTTTTTTTTTTAATTGGGGGAAGGAGGTTCTTAATTTGGTGACTTTTTTGCCATGAAAAATTTATTATGGAACAAATATTAAATAACTTTGTGTTTTTAAAAAAAATTTTGGGGGCACCTGGGTGGCTCACTCAGGAACAGGCCACCTTCGGCTCAGGTCATGATCCCAGGGTCCTGGGATTGAGCCCCGCATCGGGCTCCCTCCTCAGCGGGGAGTCTGCTTCTCCCTTTCCCACTCCCCCTGCTTGTGTTCCTGCTCTTGCTGTCTCTCTCTCTCTCTCTGTCAAATAAATGAATAAAAAAAATCTTAAAAAAAATTGGTTTAGGGCAGAATCCTGAGGAACAAGCAAGTTAGAAAGCTACTGACCTAGAGGAAACTGCAAAGGACACTTAGAAGTGACCAAATGAGGAAATTCACAATGCGCAGTAGTACATGCTGAAGGAGAAATGAGTTTCAAGGAAAAGCATGTAATGTACTCTATCATAGCAAACATTTCTTAAAAATAGAATAAGGCCAGGATTAGAAAGCATTGCTCACATTTAGCAGTTAGGAGATTTCTGATTCCAGCAAAGCTAGAGTAGCCCCCCTATTTCCTCCCAGGTACTACTTCTTACAACTAAAATAATTCTGGACATAACACAATAAGCAAAGGAAAATACTTAAAGGTGAAAAGAAGTGAACTGCCTAGGAACCTGGGAATGTGAGGAACAGCATGATGGTGATTTGAGTTTTCTTATTGTCTCCCATCCATCCAGGACAAGACATTGCAGAATGCCTCCAGGTTAGAGCTGCCAACAGGCACAGACCAAAAGCACCAAAAAGGGGCACGTTGTCCCTAGCCAAAGCACCAGGAAAAGAATGGTTTAATAATAGAAAACCTTTTTGGTAATATGTACCCAAACATTAAATGCCGTCAGCCAAACCCCTGCTCTTCTTCCTCCCCCCAGGGAGAGCTGGTCTTCCACCTCCCTGTGCCCTGCCCTGTAGAGGCAGATGGTAGTGTCCTGATGTCCCCTCCTGGTGCTGGACACAAGGACAGTGCAGGGAGCTAATCTTCTACCCTAGAGCAGCAGATCTCCCAACCCTTTCCCCGCGGACAGAGTGATGTCCATGGGGCCGAGCAGGGAGTTCATGCTCTCAGTCCTCGTGCAGGGTTCCGTTGGCAGGTCCTGGGCAGGGAGCTGAGCCTCCATCTCCACCTGTCAGCAGGGAGGCTGAATGAGGTGGTGTGGAACAGAGCAAGTCAACGGTCTAGTCCTCCCCCAGCACACCCCCACCTTCATGAGTCTCTGCTCCCTTGCCCAAAATCAAAAGTCAGGGACACAATGATCTCTTAGGTCTCTCCCAAAAAATCCTAAGTGAGAAACTTTACTTATTACTACTTGGTTAGGAGCAGGGAGGATATAAATCATTCTAACCATTCTTTGAGCTAATAGTGTTATTCAAAGGAGCTAGAATCTATAGCTTCTATTTTTGCACTATCCAACATCATAGTCTCTGGCTTTATGTGATGTCTGCACTTGAAATGTGGCTAGTCCAAAGTGAGATGTATTGCAAGTATAAAATACACTCTGGACTTAACTACAAAACGAATGAATGTAGACTAGCTCATATTTCTTTAATATTTATTACATGTTGAAGTGATAACATTTTAGATAGGGTGGGTTAAATGAAATATATTATTTAAATTAATTTGGTGTTTCTTTCTACTTTTTAAATTTTATTTTTAAGTAATCACCACACCCAAAATGGGGCTTGAGCTAACAACCCTGAGACCAAGGGTTACATGTTTTACTGACTGAGCCATCCAGGCACCCCTCTTTCTACTTCCTTAAATGTGGCTACCAGAGGGGTGTCTGGGTGGCAGAGTTAGTTAAGTGTCTGATCTTGGTTTTGACTCAGGTAGAGATCTCAGGGTTGTGAGATCAGGCTCCACGCTCAGCACGGAGTCTGCTTAAGACTCCCTCCCCCTCTGCACTTCCCTCCCCCCCAGCTCGTGCTCTCTCACTCTAAAATAAATAAATCTTTAAAAACAATGTGGCTACCAGAATATTTAAAATTATATTTGTAGCTCATCTTTATGTCCTACATTATGTTCTGAGTAGGCAGTGCTGATGTATGTTCAGAGTGGTTATCAGAACTAATTTCTTTTTTTTTTCAATTTAAATTCAATTAGCCAACATATAGTACATCATTAGAATGAATTTCTAATTTAAATTTGATTACATACATAGCCAGGATCAACAATCAAGTGTCGAAAAATGTTAGCATATATATAAAATAATATGTGTTGTCAGATGTCTAAGTAACTTTGTGAAATTCAAGATTAACAGAAATGTAACAAAATCCACTGAGATGTATTTGCATATAAATTAATTTGAATAGTACATCTATCAGCTACATTTGTAAACCCCGGGCCCAGGGACCCAGAGCTTGGAAAAATAAATCAGACTGTGATTTCAGTGAGTTGGTGAGGATTAAAATAAATGAAAACTGAAAATATGCCCACTGCCTTGATAGGATGTTTTCCCAGGCTACTGGGATACCAGGATACTGACAACCCTGCCATTCATTTGACACCGACAAGTGGAAAGTGGAAGAAAGAAACCTGGTGTGGGGATAACACAATCTTGTAAACTGAGATCCAATACATTTAACTATTTAACACTAGCATTATGGGTCTATGGTGGTGTGTTCAAAGACGTCATCCATTTTGTCCTCCAGGTGAATAAATGTGGCCTGGAAAGGATCGCACAGACTCTGAATAGCATTAGAATTCTCTTTCTGCTTCCAAATATCCTTCCCAGTATCCTCTGTGAGCACATCACAGCCACGTGCCCTTTTCCCAACCAGCCTGGATGATTTGCTGCCCACCAAACGTCCTAGGTAGTTGTTCCTTTGCTCTTTCTTCACACAAGGTACTTTTTCTTCCATTTTCTGCCTACCAAAATTTTACTCATCCTTCAAAATCCAGCCCAAATACCAAAGGCCACTCCCACTGAAGTCTCCCCTATTTTTCAGTGACCATTCACAAATGTTGTTAAGAGTTGGCAATATGCTGGCTGTGTGCTGCGCCCTGGGTACAGAGTCCCTGCCTTCAAGAAGCTCCTAATCCAACACAGGAGATGGCGAAGAAGATAAAAATGCACAGCAGTCCATGACTGGTGGGGTAAGATGGGTGCATTCTCCACCCTGCTGTCAGAGTGACCTTTGAAAAATGCAGTTTGATTGCATTGCTGCTTTTTTCCAGGGCCATGATTTGCCAGATGGTCTGACAAATGTGCACAAAACTATGTGGACAAAGATGTATGTTACAGCCTTGTGCAGTCTACCTGGGTGTGAATTTCATTTCTGCCACTTACTGTTTGTAGAGGAAGTACTGATGTTCTAAAGGCATTGTTCTCATCAAATGCAAAATGGGGGTGATATTA